TGACGACAAAAAAATTAATTTATTTATTTTATTTAATAAATAAAATATTATATACACCATAGATTAAAAAAAAAAACAATGCACGAAAAAAATTTTATAATCTATCAATAAATTAATTAATATTAATGATGATGATTTTTTTTTTCCACATATAAAAATCTTTAATCGTCAATAAGTGTCTTTTTTGATGTTGTTTTTAGAATCAAAAAATCAAAAAAGCCAATCAATCCGTGTAACTATAGCAATATCGTGTTTTTTGTTTTTTTATTATGTAAATTTTTTTGGGGCAAAAAAATCTTTTATATATATATATATACAATAAGGGAATAATAATTAGTATAACCAGCGTTATTATTATAATATTTTATTATTACTATTAAATATTTTATGTCATCTATTAAAAATACAATTTTTAGAAAATATATAAAAGAAAAAAAACAAAAGAAAAATTATTCTAACAATTAATCAATTAATCAATCAATTTAATATCATTCAAAAAAAAAATTTTTATCTATATATAACATTCAAAAAAACCCCCGAAAAAATATCTGAAATTTAGTAGATTTTATAATAAAAAATCAAATGGATCTCGAGATTTTTGTTGATTAGATATTGAAGTCGCATTATTATTATTATTACCATTACTAATATTACTACTAGTGTTATTACTGATATTGTTGTTGGACCAAGTACCTTTGACTGACCAATCAGATTGGGTGAGAGAATTCATCGATGGCTTTTCGATTGGTTTATTGTTTTTCTCTTTGCCTAAAGAATCCAAACTAACAAGATTTGATGCTATTGCCCATATATCATCGTTGTCATTTTTTTTGGAATCAATTGATGTTTGTTGTTGATTTTGTAATGTTGTTGCTGATGCAGGTTTAGCGAAATTTGAAGAACTTGATATAATAATATTATTATTGTTGTTGAGGTTATTAGTATTAGTATTAGTATTTTGTGAAATTGAAATTGGAGAAACTGGTCCAATTAAATCATCAAACAAATTATTATTATTATTATTATTATTATTATTATTATTATTATTATTATTATTATTATTATCATTAACGTTGTAATTATTGTTATTATTGTTTCTTAAAGAAAGAGATGATATTGATGATCTAGTACTAGTAGTGGCAGTATTAGCGGAAAAAAGTGGCAGAGGCGCACTTTGAAAGTCTTGAAAGTCATCTTATGGATATACGTAATGTTATGTAAATATTATGTGAATAAAGGGTTAATACGATACAAATATATGCAAATACGTAAAATTCATCCACATATATCCATTTATACACTATAATTTTCACTTACCAAATGTAGTAGATTGCAATTTACCAAAGTCATTTGCATTATTATTTGCACTATTAGTATTATTAGAATTGGTGGATAAAATATCATCTAAATCAACCAAATTTGTTTCGTTAACTTTCGTAGATGATGATGACGATGCTGTTGTTGCTGACACCAATTTATCATCAAATTTATCGTCCTTAACATTTTTATGATTTAAAGAATTGGTAGTAGTTGTTGATGTCCTCGTATAACCAAAATCATTCCTAGTCCCAGCGCTAGATCTCCTATCATGAATTGATGAAGAATTTCTTTCCGATCTTTCACTGAACGCTTGTGAGCTTGAATCATTATATCTAGAATATGATTGATCATCGTCTTGATCTCTAAATCCGCCTATTCATTCATATATATAATTTTTAGGCAAATTCACACAAATTATCCTTAATTAAACAGTAGTAGAGTAGTAAGAAGCAATAGCAATACTCACGAGATCCACCAGATGAATCACTACCAAATCCTCGATATTGACTTGCGCTACCAAAACTAAGTGATTCGGAACTAACACCTGTATATTTCGTTCTATTGGCTCTAGCCTTTTTCCTTTCCATTTTAATTCTATCGGTATCACTTAACAACTCGGTAAGTTCTTTTGCTCGGTTACGAACTATAAATTATTTTATTATCATTTGTTAATGTTGTTGCCGTATAATTAAATTAATAAAACTATATAATATATCCTTACCATTAATTCCTTGATCTTTTCCTTTTTCGTCAATATACGAAAAATTTTTCATAATCTTGAGAAGGGCCATATGTGCTCTTGCATCATCTACAACTCTATCTGAACCATGCTTCACCAAATATTCTAATAATTGAAGTGCCTAATAAAAAAATTAAAAATATTTGTTAATTAAAATAATAATAATAATAATAATAATAATAATAATAATAATAATAATGATAATAATAAAAATAATTGCTTGTCTTACTTTATAAATTTGTCTCCAATACCTTGCTTCTTTTTCGGTAAATCTTTTGTAAATTGTTGTCATTACTTCATTGAAATGTTGACTAATAATTTTTTTAAAAAAAACTTATTAACATCAAAAAAAAAAAATTTTTATAATCTAAAAAAAAAGATTCAACTTACTAGTTATAAGTTGCTTGTGCAATATCAGACATTGAAGTAGTGCTGGCACCCCAAGGTTCATTGTTAGTTGCTTCGTGTACTTTAGCTTCCATTTCTGTATAATTCATTACTACATTTTTACTAAAAAAAAAACAACATCTAAAGCATTAAAACAAAAGTTATAAGAATAAAAAAATCTTCAAAAAAAATTATTTAACAGACGTACACTTTATTAAAGGCATCTTTAACATCCCAAAAGGTTATATTACCAAGTTGCTCCATCTTTGAAATTTATTATTTTTTGACTGAAAAATATAAATACAAACTTGTGTAACACACACCCATTCAATTTAAAAAAATCCCTTCTTTACATTTATTAATAATATTTATCATTGATCTTTTTATTAATAATATTCTTTAGATTATTACAATAAATTTTCTCTTTCAATATTTTGTTCAATTTATTTGGGTATTCTACAATAATAATTTTAGATTTTTGAGTAGATATTGTCTTGTATCTTTCTATTCATTTTATTGAATTAACTACTTTTTCTACTGACTGAGACTTCCCTGCACTACATCAAGAAAACTAGTAGCCTATAGTAGTAATACCAATCACAGTAAATTCACATATTAATATATATTAATATGTGTACTATAATTTGTTATATGGGGCATACTGCAACGAACATTGGTGTTACCAAGGATTTCAGGGATCAAAATTAAATGTAATTATAATGTGATTACATATTAATATGTAAACTCGATAAGTTGGTTTACTCAATAAGTCGGACCAAAATTTTCACCCATTTTATTAATATCCAAGTAATTTAATTCAATAAGTCAGTTTACTTGATAAGTTGGTCATCTGAGCACACCCCCACATGACCAACTTATCAAGTTTACATATGTAGCAGTTTTATAATGTCCCATTTGTTTATTGCCTTAAGTAATATATAGAACTACCCTTATATAAAAATAATAATATGAAACTCATTTACATCAGATTTACTATGGAACCCAAAAAATACAGCACCATTAGAAGTATTTTGAAGAAAGAACAAGATGAAAAAATTGCTCCATATGTTTTTAAAATAAATGATGCTCAGGCACTAGAAACTTATCTAAAGAAAGAAAGGATTACTTATGAAATTTACCAAGAAGAAAGAAAAATAATAAACATTAAGAAAAGAAAACAGAATGATGATATGTTATTACCTAACAAAAAGCAAAAATCCTTGTTACAGTATTGATTTATTTTTTCCTTTAGTCTTTTTAACAACATAAATCACAGCAATTATAAAACCTAAAATTAAAGTTATACTTGCTATTCATAATCAAACAGATTTGATATCAAACTTTTTTTTCATCCTTTAAAATATTGTTTTTACATTCCTCAGCAACTTTGGCAAAATCTTCATCTTTTAAATCACAGATACTAGTTTTTACATGATAAATATTAGAAAACCAGATATGATGAGAATATTTGTAATCAGGGAGAACATAAGTTTTATTTGATAGTAGATTGTCTCTACATGAAATAATTTTTGCACAATTGTCATCAATAAAAATATCAAAATCAGGGTGATTATCTCTAATCCCATTGTTGAGGGATAGTAATCTCTCTTTTTTTGTCTGCTTCTACTTCTAAAATTGATAAACTTGTTCTTGGGAATTTACCAAAAAATTTTTTGGACTTTTCTCTTTTTGCTCTTCCCCTCTCCTTTGAATCCAGTGGTTGTATCTGTTTTTTTTTTCTACAGGTACTAATTATTACCAGTTCACTTATCAGATCTTCTTTAAACATCATAGAATTCTTTTGCAATTGATAGAAAAGGATTGATATCATATCTATGTGGGTTGTTGTAGAAATTGAAGTCTTTTTTCCTCCTGCTTTTAGTCCTTTAAATAATTTGAGATATTTCTCTTCCTCTTCATTTGTAGTTGTAAATAAAAAAATCTGTAATATATGGGGCATGCTGCAACAAAACCAGACAAGTGAACATTGGTATAACCAAGAATTCAGGGATCAAAATCTAGTCATTTGTAATGTGATCGTAATTAACAGTTTTATAATATCTCATTTGTTATCTTAAGTGATATATAGAACTACTCCTATATAAAAATAATAATATGAAATTCCTGGAATTTGTTAGCACATTGTATCATTAAGTAGTCACGAGTCAGATTGGCCTTGTGTACATGAGGAACATAAGAGAATGACTATAAGTGTTCAAGGTAGCATGTGTGTCTTGATATCTGTAAATTTTCAATTATACTGTATATCAAATTGTTTCTTCTTCAGCAGTCATGTCACCTTGACATCTTCTTGTAATTATATATTTAATATTAATGGCTACAAAAAGCAAATCATTAATCTGTTATCTTGATGAGAATAAATACCTAAAGACATACAACAAGTTCTGTTCCATCCATGTCTTGATTTCAACAATATACATTTATATAAAATAAAAGACAAATATCAATACATATCAACACATTTATATAAACAATAAAAAAAAATTTATATACTAAGGTTTCTGGTCGAAACTGCTTCTATTAGTAGCCGAAATTGCCCAAATACTTTGGGCAAAAATTATTTTTTTATAAGCCCAAACTACTTTTTGTTATTAGCCGAAATTGGGCGAAATTATTTTAAAGTTGTTTAAGTTAAAACAAGTTGATTCATATAGTTTTTTAATGTTCATGCTTATAGAAAATGTTGAGAAGCCAAATTGCCCAAACTAGTTTGGGCTTTGAGAAAACAGTTTGGACCAGAAACCTTAATAAATACGTCGGTAAAAGAAAAGTCTTGATTTTTTTGTTCTTGTTAAGAATAATTCAAATTCAAAAGCTGTTTGTATTTGCCATATGCAAGGGTGGATGCCTAAACATCGCGCAAATAATACCTATGATTTACTACCAATAAATCAAGACTTTGTTGCAACCACTTTGCAAATTTTAAGCTGATGAAAAATTTGCACTTGAAGACTCAAAAATTTTTTCCTCTTTTAATTATTGTATCTAGGAGATTCTAACGACAATTATCCTAACAAGAAAAATCAACAAACCATGAATTCATTATCATCTCTCATTTTTTTTAGGTATTATTAAATTCTAATACATATTTGTTTTCAAGAAGGCGATATTGTTTAATTTTCTGTGATCAGTTATCAAAGCCATTTGGTTATTAGTTTTCATTTACCAATACTGATATTTGCACAATAGATTTTTTTCACCAGAGAATAAACTATGATGTTTAAATGTACTTTTATATACTTAAAATTCTTACCACAACCTAAAAGTGTGCAAACAGCCCTTGATCTATGATATTATAACTATTGCCGCTATTATTATTATTAGCCTTATTAGTGAAAGTAGCAGCTTGATTCGGCCACCACCGCCATCATCAACATCTTTCATTGTCATTACCTTCACTACTATAATAGTTGTTGATATTGTAATTATGACTATGATGATTATGATCTCTTTGTTAAAATATCATTGATTGATTTTGAAATTTAGACCAATAAATTTTTAATTTGATAATAGTAGACGTTTTCCAGCAAAGCAAATAATCGATGGCATTGGCCTAGCTCGATTACCAGAAATTAAAACGAGAATTGTATGTGATCACATGATATGGAGGGTGGTGAGTAAAAGAATGCATAAATTATTGCAGCCTCTGCAGATATATATATGGATGCCTTATTCGTAAAGTATATTTCATAGTATCAAAAATGCCAGTAGTGTCACCACACACATTGCCCATATCCAGAGAATAACGGATTATGATGTATTCATCAATCTAACAGTTAAGCCAAACCAGCCATAGTCAACATTTTAAGCAAAATTTAGCCCATTCATTATTTTTTTTTCATGCTATTCTCTTCTTATTAAACTATAATTTCCATCATCCATCAACTTAAACTCCATGGAGTGAGCTTATTAACTCCTCTAAGAATTACCATCCGTTCACTATGGCAATAGATAATAATTGTATAGTAATAGATAGTTGGTGATCATTAAAATAATGGTCCTTGTGCTTAAGCATGGTTTACCACCTCCATGTGTAAATATATAAAATCTCGCATATGTTAAAGCGATGGTAGAAATCGGCAGGATCCAACAACCAATTCAAACAGTCCGTGATAATATACTTACCGAATGACTGATGGTGGTGGATAAATTAAAAAATCTGTTGTATATGTAGTTGTTACAAAAAGGAGAAGTTTTTGTTATGGTTGTTGGTAATATGACGGTGCTGCTGTTGTCTATTATTCTTTTGACGCAATTAGACAATCAGTTTTTTTGATCAAGAATTGCGAACGTGGTTTTTTTAATCGCACCAATATTTAAGAATGCGAATGTAATAGAGAGGATAGATATCGATCGATTTGTTTTCAAGAATTATTTATTTTTATAAATATTTATAATAATATATTCTTCAAAAAAAAACACACATATTGAAATCAAAATTATGGTAAAAAAGTTTTTGTCTTTTGGAATTAAAATACAATATTAATATTAATCGACTTCTTCCTCTAAATCTGGAAATTTACGCAATTTCGTATAAAGATTATCAATTCGATGTCTTATCGCTGATTTGGAACGTTCGGGAAGTTGTTCCACAAGATCGTTGGGAGAAGGTCTTTGAATATTCTCAAATAATAATTCATAAATCACCTTATCTTCCTAGTAATCGTCAACACGAAATGTTAGGATATGAGAAAATGACGATGATATTGGAATGACATTTACTTACTTCTTTGCTCCAAGATTTAGGTTTTTTGGTGATTTTTTGAGACGATGACTTTTTATTGTCATTTTCGCTTTCAGTAGCAGTATCTTCATCTTGTTGTTGCTTGTTATTAGCCTTGGTGTTGGTGGTAGCTTTTGTGCTGAAGCAGTAGTAATAGTAGATTGAGGTTGTTGTGAAGAGGATTTTGAAGAAGATTGTGATGGCTGCTGCTTTACTGATGATGACGTCGTTCCGCTTGTTAATAGTGTCGCTGTTGTTGTTGTTGCTGGAACAGGTAAATTGTTAGGCGTAGATGTGATGGTGGTGGTAGTTGTAGTGGTAATATTTGTTAAAGTGGCAGTTGCAGCAACGGGGTCAAAGGATAGAAATCCTCCATTAACAAGGAGATGATTATTATTATTATTTTCATGATCTAATAAATAATTACCAATTATTAGATTATTATTATAATTATAACTTTCAATACCATCATAATTAACATCATAATTATCATCATTAAGATTTAAATTTAGTTCATAAGTTGTACTTTGAGTTGGATAAGTTGAGGAGGCTAAAGACATCAAATCAACTTGATCAAATTGATCAAAGTCGAATTGGTTGTTGTATAGTTGATCATCTAAATCATCTAAATCTGATCTTGACATTTTGAAAAGAGAAAGAGAAAGAGAAATGGAACGAATAGTGAGGAGGTTATAATAATTATATTTTTATTTATTTCTTTTACAACAAATAAAATTCACTTGATATTAAACAACGCGAAAAATTTTTTTTAATGATTTATATTTAATCTTATTAAATTGACATTGATATATAAAAAAAAAAATTTAAATAAATAAATAGTTAAATAAATAATTTAAAATGATGGGTCACTTTGGCGCGCGCGCACAATTTTAAAAAAAAGTTGATTAATTAATCACCATTCTTCTTCATTTTTCTTCTAAAGAATTTTTAAAATTTCCTAATTCGCTCTTTATAAATGTTTGTAGTTGACTGATTATAAGTTTATTGTTTTGATTTAGTTGATTTTGTAATTTTTGAGTTAATTCAGACTGAAATTTTTTAAAATCTGTTTTTTCTTTTTTCTTTGGTAGCACTGAAACAACTTCTCTCAACTTGTCAGAAATAAATGGTAAATTTTCTGGATCTTCCTTATAATCATTGTCTATCGATTTAATTATTTTTATAACTTCATCAACATAAACATCATAATATCTATATAAAATATATAATTAAATAAATGTGTATATAAATTTTAAAATTATTGATCAATTATTTATTCAATAATAGGAACGAATAAATGAATGAAATCTTTACATTAAATCAGGAAACCAGTTTCTCCAGCGACGTTGTTGAGGTAATAAGTAAAATAATTCGATTTCAATTATTACCTACAAACAAAAATCAACAAATCAGCAAAAATGGAATCAACTATTTCCCAATTTCACCAATTAATTAGCATGTATAAATTCTAATTTGATGTATTGACTTACTTTAGCTCTTTCAATTAAAAATGCTTCCTTTGTATTGTTTTCTTCTATTGCATTACTCAACAAGCCAATAAATAAATTCATTAAATAAACCACCACTAGAAATGAAAATGCCACCATGAGAAAAGACAAATAATACTGATCAGCAAATTGCCATTGTGAAAATGCACTTGAATCGCCTAATAATCAATTTATAGTTGGAAATATTAGTGTTCCAAAAAAACCAAATATCTGCCACTACACAAATTCTGACCATCAATCAATTAATTAATTAACTGATTAATAAAATTACCTGTAAGAAAATTATACATTGCCAGTGTTGAAATGCCAATACCTGTAAATAAATTGGTGTTCTTGTCAGGTTGTTGTATATACGCATAATTGGTGTTCCCTTGAAAAGTATCATTCTGAACTATTAGCAAAAATTTATTTACTAAATTCCAAGGATCATTATCATCCACAATTTCAGAAAGAGTTGGTGGCTGATCAAATGAAGTATAGACTGTTCTTGGTTTTAGATAAATGTAAAATGCATGAGAAAAACTCAGGATCAATATAAATAAAATCACTAAAAATGAAAAAACTTTTTTTGCCACTCCAATAATTATAGCAAAATAAGCACCAAAGTATCTAAATGCTCTTAAAAATAACATAAATTTTATGTCCAATAATAAATTAGAAAATGAAATTAACCAAATTGGAGGTACGGCGTTATTGAACACCCAATATGATGAAGTAAATACTGTAAGTATATATGTAACTAAATCTAAATTAATTGATAAATTGAATGGATTAGATTATTGTTATTATTATTATTATTATTATTATTATTATTATTACTCACTAAAATATTTCCAAAAATCTCTTAAATATGCTTTTCTATTCCAAATCAATTGTTTAACTTCAAACATTAAATGAATTAATCCTAATACAATTGTAATTATTAAATATTTATAATCATTATCCTGTCCTTGATGTAGCTGCTGTTCTTTACCATTCGTAATAACCTCATCTTTGGAAAGAAGATGCATAGTGGTGCCACTGAATGATAATAAAAAGAATATATAAAATATCCATATTCCAACATAATATTGAAATCCAAATCTTTTCCACTTATAATTTAGAATTATTTCGCCATTCAAATATTTAAATAATCTTGTATGACTTACATTTAGGTGATTAAATGAATTGGATTCTGGTTTATAAAATATCTCTTTAAAAGGCGAACAATTTTCACTGGAATGACTAGTAAGTCATTTGTAATGTGATCGTAATTAACAGTTTTATAATATCTCATTTGTTATCTTAAGTGATATATAGAACTACTCCTATATAAAAATAATAATATGAAATTCCTGGAATTTGTTAGCACATTGTATCATTAAGTAGTCACGAGTCAGATTGGCCTTGTGTACATGAGGAACATAAGAGAATGACTATAAGTGTTCAAGGTAGCATGTGTGTCTTGATATCTGTAAATTTTCAATTATACTGTATATCAAATTGTTTCTTCTTCAGCAGTCATGTCACCTTGACATCTTCTTGTAATTATATATTTAATATTAATGGCTACAAAAAGCAAATCATTAATCTGTTATCTTGATGAGAATAAATACCTAAAGACATACAACAAGTTCTGTTCCATCCATGTCTTGATTTCAACAATATACATTTATATAAAATAAAAGACAAATATCAATACATATCAACACATTTATATAAACAATAAAAAAAAATTTATATACTAAGGTTTCTGGTCGAAACTGCTTCTATTAGTAGCCGAAATTGCCCAAATACTTTGGGCAAAAATTATTTTTTTATAAGCCCAAACTACTTTTTGTTATTAGCCGAAATTGGGCGAAATTATTTTAAAGTTGTTTAAGTTAAAACAAGTTGATTCATATAGTTTTTTAATGTTCATGCTTATAGAAAATGTTGAGAAGCCCAAATTGCCCAAACTAGTTTGGGCTTTGAGAAAACAGTTTGGACCAGAAACCTTATTATATACACAAAAATAAAAGGCTGTGTACCTCTTGCTATTAATAAATAACACATTGTCTTCTTTCAGTACAAGCCATATCATGTTTCCTCATCTTGTAAAAAATAAATTGTTTTCCTAAAATAAAGAAAAAACAATAGGGGTTGGTTCCTTGTACAACCCATATGCGCAGCAATTAATTAATTACAGTGAACCCTCCTCCATAAGTGTACCCCCTTGGGAATGGATGAGAGTGTGCATTTATGGAGGGATGCATTTATAATAATAAAAATTATTGTTATAACGGTAAATTATTATCATTTGACTTTAAAAGCTTATAACTCCTTATTAGAAAAGAAAAAAGTAAACTGATAGAATTAAAGCTAAAGACCTAAGCTTCATTTCCGTTGGTTTATTAGAAAGTTTTGAGTTATAAGATTTCAAAATTAGGCCATTTTATATATGTCTACAAAATTTCGGAATGATCTTCCCTTGTGATTTCCTAAAAGATTGATTATAGTAATAGGCTTAATTTTTTTGTGATAAGAAATCTTTCCAATAAAAGAAATCTGATTACTTGAATTAAAAAGATCTTCTAAAATTTTAAATTTCAGACATTTATGGATGACTTGAACCATATTATTACATATTAATATTATTGCTGACTAAAAAATTGATTCATTGTGATTTACTATAATAATTCCACCTATAAAAGATCCACCATCTGTGTTCTTTTCTAATAACTCTTTTTTCATCAATTAAAAAAGAAAGTACTTAATCTTTTGTAAAAAAACAAATAATTTAATTACTTCTTTATTTTATTTTCCATTACTGTTACTACACATAAATATTAAAAATTTCTTGATCTTTATCCTTTGTTTAATCCTTATTTTTTTTAATTTCATCTATAAATTTCCCCATTTGAATTTTATCATTATTATATAGTGCCGATCATCTAAAGACATCACAAAATGTTGCCAATCTTTAAATGCTGATACTTCACTAAATATGGGCTATTTTACCAAAAACTCTCTATTTTTGCAATCTTCTGGACATGAAAATTAATGTAATAGAAAGTTTTTTTTAGTTATTTAGTAAAAAAAAAGTTATAATGGTTTAAAGTTATGTAACTTTATTATGTTATTTGAAATTTCGGCAACCATCTAAACCGTGATTTACCGATTATTTTCACGATTTACCGAATATTCACGTGACAAAGCAGCAGATCTTCTACAAATTTGGATTTTTAAATTTCATGTCATAGTTTCCATATCTATTAGTACAGATTCAGGAACTCTCCTATAGTGGCAATAATCTAAAGACTTCATCAATGTTGCCAATCTTTAAGTGCTGATGCTTTATTAAATATGGGCTATTTTACCAAAAACTCTCTATTTTTGCAATATTCTAGACATGAAAAATAATGTAATAGAAAGTTTTTTTTGAGTTATTTAATTTAAAAAAAAGTTATAATGGTTTAAAGTTGGGTAACTTTGCTATTTTATTTAAAATTTCGGCAACTATATATCTAAACTGTAATTTACAGATTATTTTCATAATTTTACCAATTATTCACGTGACAAAGTCACAGATCTTTTACAAATTTGGATTTATTGGATTCTTTATAAAGCAAG